TATATATATATATATATATATATACCACAACAACTGGTATCAGAGCTTTGTTTGGATCTGAAGAAGAATGATAGTTGGAGATGAAGTGAATGTTTCAAGGATCGAGAAATTAAATGACACAGATTTTGGTTATTGGAAGATGCAGATAGAGGACTACCTCTATGAGAAGAAACTTCATCTTTCGTTATTGGGGAAAAGGTCTGAAAGGATGGATGAGACTGAATGGAATTTGTTGAATCGATATGTTCCGGGATTTATTCGATTGACCCTATTGAGGTCCGCTGCACACAACGTTGTCAAGGAGAGGACGACTGCATATCTCATGGGAGTCTTATCAGGTATGAATGAAAAGACGTCGACGAATAACAAAGTATACATGATGAAAAAATTATTCAACTTGAAAATAGCGGAATATGTTTCTGTTGCTCAACACCTGAATGATTTCAATATTATCACAAATCAATTGTCGTCTGTTGGAATTGATTTTGATGATGAGATACATGCGCTGATATGCGCTGATAGATATTGTTGGCTTCATTGTCAAATAGTTGAGAAGTCATAAATATGACAGTTAGCAGATCTGCATGTAAATCTAATCGTGATTTGATTTTGGCTTAGGAGGGGCGCAAGAAAGATTCTGGCAAAATCTATGGTTCAAGTTCGACACTGAATGTTGATTTCAGAGGGAGATAGCAGGACATGAACTCAAATAGAGGGAGATCAAAATCAAAGTCGGGTCAACAGACAACCTGCTGAAATTATGGTAAGGCTGACCACATAAAGAGAAACTGAAAAATCTCAAGAATATAGAGAATGATAGCGCAAATATGGTATCTGAAGAAGTATATAATGCACTACTGTGGCAGTTCATAGTTCTGTTGATGATGGAAGTGAAGAGGAGAGAGGGTCTGGGGCACTCATTTCTATTGTTACACAGACAGATGGTGGAGAACCACAAAGCTATGAGGAAATCTTGCAAGATGAGAGTTCGAGCAAGTGGAAGTTGGCAGAATTTCCACCAGGGAAAAAGACCTTACACAAGAAGTGGGTGTAACGAGTGAAGACTGAGCATGATGACTTTAAGTGGTACAGGGTCAGACTTGTTGAAAAAAGCGTTCAGCAGGGGCAGGATATTGCCATGCAGTTAGAGTTGTAAGCAGAAAAAAGAGTGACTCAGGAAATAGCTTGGAGGTGCAAAACTATGTTGACCCTGCTGATATATTGATTAAGGGTGTTACCCTTGAGAAACTGAAGTTGTGCACAACTTCAGTTGGTCTTTTGGTGTGAAGACAGAGGCTTTGAGCTGTAGAGATGGAGGATTCATGTTTAAAGAAAAAGAGCGACACCGCCAATGGAGGATATCAGTTTGAGGAAGGAGATATTGTTGTCTATGTACCGGTCTCAAAGTGGTTCGTGACCTCGCTCCCGCTCCCGCTCGATCGCGAAACCGCTCACACTCGCGCGAAGCTTCGCTTCGTTTTGTCAAATCGCGAATAATCGTAACTCCTTGCTGTTTCGCGAAATGTTGTCTCTCTGCTTCCTGTTCGCGATAAAAGGAATCGCAGCGGCTCTCCTTTGGTTTTTTTAAGTCACGATTTTTGTGTTCTTGTTCGGACCTCCTCAGGATAGAGGAAGAGAAGTGCAAGCAGTAGTTCCTTATGGCAGAAGTAAGAAGAAGAAAGAAGAAGAAGATTGTTCTTCCTTGGTTTCTTCTTGGTGGCTTGTGGCAGAAGAAATTAAGTTTATTTCTCTTGTAAGTTTATCTTCTTCAATTTATCTCGGTGTAGAGAGAAAAGAAAAGAGAGCAACGAAGAGAGAGATTCCTCTTGTAAGTCGAGACGATCGACCGGTGTAAATTTCTCATGTTGTAAAATCCTCTGCAACTCTATGGACGTAGGTAATTTGCCGAGCCACGTAAATCTGTGTGTTCCGCTGCGTTACAGTTTTCTGGTATAAATTTTTTCGTTTTATTTTTCGCTTCATCAAAGATCGTTCTCTTATTTTATTTCTATATATCACAAGGCACATGCCCAAATATCGATTTCCCATGCACTATTTGAACCAGCGGCAAAACTTCAGAGACCTTACGAGGGAAAACTCCTCAGATTCGCAAAGAGCTAACTCAATCCCTGTTGCAATTTAACTCATGGTACAAGTCATAGAAATCTGCGACGCCATGAAGAAGTTCATCAGGCCTTTTAGTTCATAACATGAAGAGAATATCACGTACAGGATCCAGATACATCTGAACTTGGCACGTAATAGTTTTTCGAATAACATGAGCAAAATTGTTGAGTAACTTGACAGGACAACATGCAATTTAATTTAGCATAGTGTATATTACTGTCACACTTTTATTTGGCTATTGTGGTTAAAAGTATCTTTTTATAAATAGATTTGCTAATGTGGTGACTACAAGCAAATTGATGTTCATGTTTAAAAAAGAAAAAAAAAATTATAATACCACAATAGCTTTAAAAAAAAATTTGTCTTCCCTATAACATCTCTATCATTACCCTTACAAATGGCTATAGAGGTAACTAAAATGGACCCTTAGTCTCCATTTGATTAAGATCATCTATGTTGAACTTGGAGAATCTTTGCTCTATATTCATTAATCTCTCAATCACCTTATTAGCTTTTGTCTACTCAATCTCAATGCCTACACATAAACTCATTGACATGGTCTTCAAATATTCCAATTTGATCAGCAGCACCTAGAATCCACCATTAGGGATCATTATCCTAGATTCTCCCACAAGTGATTTCGAAGTAAAGCTAGTTACATCAGAATTCGTGCTCCTCTCAAAAAAATTTCCACTCTTCTTGTTGGAGACCTTCTCATCCCTCTTCTCAATTTGCAGCTTCTTCAAGAGAGGGTTATCTGTTGATATAACCACTTCACAGACGAATTTTGGTTTAACTGCCTCTTTAAACTTCTATTGAAGCTCAATGCTGACAATCAATCTTGTAGAAGTCCTTGAATTTCTATATTATGTACAAGAAGATAAGCTCTTTTAGCTATTGCAGATCAAAAGTATGGTGACTAAACTACAAAAATTAAATCCCTAAAATCGAACTATAAATCTCGAATTTATACGCTTCATGTTGATGCTTTTAAAATGAGCCAAAACAAAATTTATGTGCATTATAATAAGTCAGAGCTCTATTAAAGATTTGAGTGCGTAAATATGAAAGTATGTAATCCCAGCCAAAAAAAAAAAAAAAAAGAGAAGTCGGCCTAACAATTTATTACTATAGAGTATGGATAAATATGTACAGAGTGGCATATAATAAAGAAATCGTGCAATGTTCCCATCCTATCACTTACATATTTCAAGCAGCGCAGCGCAGCTGAATCTTGCTGCTGCTAAAAAAAATTTCTTTAAACCTCTAGCAGTGGTAGTACATTAATTGTACAATCACAAATCACAAATTGGAAAAAATAGTAATAATATAACTTCAAAGACACAAAATTTATCGAATTTAACTAGCTCAGAATGGCGCAAACAATTACCTTTACAGTTGTACCCTCACCGTCGGTAGCGCTTTCCCTGAAATCGCCGGAGCACCCCTTGCACCGCCACTTCAAAGGCGTCCTCCATCCCCTCGTCGAGTCCTCTCTCCGCCCCTGCATACACCAGCTTCGGTATCAAACTCACCACCCTCTCCCTCATCTTTCGAACCTTCTCTTCGCCAATCCCATCCAAAAGCCCCCTCACGCTGACCGCTCCACTCCTCACCTCTCTCCTATCGATGAACACCGACCACTCCCCAGCCTCCTCTTCTTCAGCAGACAAGTACCACGTGTACTGCTCGTAGGCGCTCCGCCGCCAAAAGATCACCGGAATCGCCCCGGCGACCATGCAATCGAACATTGATCGCCGCGTGAAGCTATCCCCTCTAGGCTGCAAGCAGAATACCGAATCCAGAAAGAGGCTTAACGTCTCCGCGCTACGGTTTCCGCACCGCCCCTCGCTGCAATCAACCGCTCGACACGCGCTTCCCGCCCCCGCGCATTCCGACAATAATAAACCCCTAAAATCATCTTTGACGCTCACGCGCGCCGCTCCGGCGAAGCTAATGAGCGTCGATCGGGGCCGGTTCTTCACAAAAGCCTGCCAAGCACGCACCTCAGCCGCGCTTCGTGGGTGGAAACCTATGGGATATGGAATCCCCACGTCGTGCTCATCCCATGGGTTCCGTTCGATTAGAAGACGAGTCACATTCGCCATTCCCTGCATATAAAGGAAGCTCCCACCCCAATCGCGGTCGTTGGACCGCCGGAAGTCCCATGTGATGCGCCCGAGCGTGATGAAATGATCCCAGCCGCCTGATTTCCTCCACGGAAATTGGGAATCCATCCACCTGAGAAGATCGGCGCAAGTGCTGTCGCGCTCTTCGGAGGTAGAGGTAGAAGACCATAGGTGTTTCCCTACGGCAAGGCCGGCGTAGAAGGGTATGTAAAAAGCTGATGCCGCGTAGGGGTTTAAGGTTCGGCAACGGTGGGCGAGCAAGCGTCGGTGGAAAATCAGCTCTGCGGTGAATTGATCGGTTGAGAACCAGGAATTTAGAAGGGAATCCGGCACGATTCGCGCGAGATCGGCGGGGGGGGGGGAACCAGGAATTTAGAAGGGAATCCGGCACGATTCGCGCGAGATCGGCGGCTGGGGGGCCGAAGCCTCCGTTGGAGATGGCACCGCAACGGGAAATCCATGGGTTGAGACCGGAGCAGTCGTTGATCAACTCTTTGTTGAACTTGGGAGGAATTTCGTAGACGTAAATCAAACCAGAGTCGCAGGAGACTTCCGTAGCTGGGGCAGGAGCGACGGCAACGGAAGGGCGCCTAAAGTCGAAGAGACGAGCGGCGATGGATCGAGTTGAAAGGAAAAGGAGGATTTGCAGTGAAAGGACGGTGAGAATAAGGAGCGCGCCATGGCGGGATGTGAAATGTAGAGACTGGAAGACGGCGACCTTGCCGGAGAGGTCGGGGCTGGGGAATTTGTTTAGAAGACGGGTCTCCGGCGTCGGCGTTCCCGACCGCGGAGACATTGCGGTGGCAGTGGAGGCGGCGGTGATCGGATCCGTGGGGCAGCAAAAGTTGTACGTGAGGAAGGAAAGTTGCTGCGAATGCCAGCGGTTGACGAAATTAGCCGAAAGAACGTCGGTGATGAAAAACTAAAAGCAGGAATTATGACACGTGCCAGTAGAAAGGTGGCGGAAAGGCGGTTTCAATACACGACAATAGGAAACCACGTGGCAAGAATCGGGTGGTCGCAGTGAGCAGGACCGTATTTTAGCTGCGGGGTGAAATTTTTGAAAGGATTGTAGTTTCGCGAGTGATTCGTGCATCCGGTTCACGACGGCGGGGCCTGAATTTGAGTCGGTGGACCTTCCAGAAAACCTATGTAGGTAGAGTGGTTTAATTTGCTGACTCCCGTTCCTTGATTTTGTCCCGTTGATGAAGGAATAAATAATAATTATTGGACTTTGCCGGCCACATGATACTTTAATTAATTTGCAATATAATCTTAGTCGTATTTAATAGTTATTATAAATATTTTATTTATTTTATTTTATTTAGAAAATTTATGTACATGACAATTTGTGTGCGTCAACATTTATGATGATAAAATAATATTTTAATATCTTAATATTTTATAAAGATACAACACAAATATTAGATAAATGAAAAATAATCAGACGAGGTACCAAAATATTTTACGTGAGAAAATATAGGAAAGAGAAAAAAATATGGGTCTCGTCTAATAAAAATAATAAATTATATTTTGTAATTATAAAGGAGTGCAATCCTCTCACAATAGAATGAACATGATTACAAAATTATACTAGACAAGAAATTTTTTAAAGCAATAAATCAAATTTTAATAGTCATAAATTAATATATTAATTAGACTCTCTGAATTTTTGTGCCCACAACCCTTATATATATGGCGTAATGAATGGTTCTCGATATCTTGAGTATATTCTTTCTTGAATCTCGTTGCTACTAAGTTGCCCTTATGGAGAGAGAATCTGATTCAACGCTTAAATTGATTGACCAGGTGAAGATGTTGGTTGCCCTTGGAGTAAAGAACAACTTCGGTCAGAAGGAGAGCCAAAGAAGAAGAAGTTTGTTAAGCAGTTGAAGCCAACTGAGCGAGTGGAAGTGGAGGAGTCGTCAGATTCGAGTTGGGAAACTCCAAAGAAGCGCCAACATAGTGCTTGGAAGGAGTTGTGTTGCTCGATGGTTGGTCCGTTGGTGAATGCTTCTGCTGAGGCTATGGGTTAGCCAAAGACTTTGAGTGCTCCATCAATTAGTGTATCGAGATTTGGTGGGGGTGATTAGTCTGTCGAACATAAAGGAACGACTTATGATCTTTCATTTTTGGATGCAGGCGGAGCTAATTGGTTCGAGGTGGATCAGATTCTGAGTATGTATTTTCATTTCTGTTTTTCACTTAAATGTGTTTCTTTTCTTTGTTTATGTTTCTTGTAAATGAGAGAGTTTGGATTGGGAGTTTTTTGATTATTGGTGACGGTCGAGATCCAATTGTGTTGGCAACTCTTATGCTTCAAGCGCCAGTCAACGGTGAAAAGAATGTGGTCAATCACCCGACCAATCCTGTGGAGATTCGAGAGGAAGTGGTCAAAGGATGATAGATGTCTCCGAGAATGTTAACTCATCACTTGGATGAACTGAAAGTTGCTTGGGCTTAGTGAGAGGGGTATCTCCGTGCGGTGCTAATCCATTTGAAGGAGATGCGAGGGGAAGCAATTGATCTTTGCTGAGAAGTGACCAAACTCTGGGAAAATTCTTTTGTACAGAGGGCTTAATCTGGGGCGGACTGAGTGAACTAATTTAAGCTCGTCAATCAAATGTTGTATATGAGGCTAGTTAGAAAGGGTTTAGTCCTGGTCGAGGCGACTGAAGACCAGTTTGCAAAGTATCTGTTTTCGGACTAATATCCTGTTCTAATTACTTTATTATTGAAATAAAATATTTATTTTTATTTTTATCTCAATTTTTTTTTTGTTAAAGTGATGTTTTCTCTCAAAACTCATGTGAGGTGTTTCCATTTCAATTGGGTCCTTAAAATAAGGGGCTAGGGTGTTTATTTGAATACTAGCTGTTGTTTTGCTCAGAGCTTCTTGTCGGCACTATTTTTGGTGTGGGGTTTGCCCGTAAGAAGCTGTCGGTCATCGGAATTGAAATCCCGTTGCCCGCTTCAGAAGGACGTTTTTAAAAATTTTTATTTTTGGAAAAAGATGAAGTCAAACTGACCCCATAATTTTCATAGTTTAGATGAAAGAGCGTTTTACCTCAAATCCTATATCTATCCCGAAGGATGAACACAAGAATTGAGGGTGAGGCTCGATCAAATAAACTAGAGAAAGTTATGACATCCGTTTAGTCTGCGAAATCAATGTATTGGCCGACAAATTCCCCTATTTAACATAAGGAATTAAATAGGGTTTATATTATGATGGGTTCGGGAAAAGCTTCCTATAAGGGCAAGCCCCTATAGTTAATTACATCTTAGATAACTGAA